CTCAATGGTGCTAATGTAAGGTCATTGTCAGGGCGCACTTTGTGTCCGCACTATCCAGTTGTAGTTATCTCTCCCATAGAAGAATATTAATTATTTATGGTATTGCTTGCGTGCGCTGACCGTCTGCTTTAATCGTTCACACTTACTGCCTCAGTTGTCGGAGGGATACGACCCCCTAACCAAGGGAGGTGAGACCTGATTAGCAATTAAAGAGAGTGTCCGATGACTAAGATATGACAATGATAATTGATGGAGAAGATATATACGGGAAAATTAAAAAATAAAAACAACCCCCTTTGGTGTAAATGCAATACCTACAAATGAGAGGGCAAGTTAGTACGAAATGAGCTGGTACAAAGCAAGCTGAAAGTTTGTCACGTTGACTTCTATCTTTTCAAAGTTCCATCTGATCATCTAACGGTCCGGCCAATGTCTCCAAGATCTCGAAAGGGTTTAAGAAAAGAATCCGCTTGGCTGCTGCTGCGATTCTTGATGGTCCTGCTCCTTGGGAAACTGCTGGATAGCTAGTGTGATGTACTATATGAGAGGTGCTGAGGCCCTGCGTAGTGTCAGAGGTTTTAACGCATCCTGCTTCTACCTGGCAGCGGATACGTGCCTCAGAGAAGATCTTCCGGATGGCAATAACCTTTGATTTGTCTTTGGTGGATTAGTCGGTTGTGGCCGTAGATCACAAGTTGGGTCGTCTGCTAGATGAGGGCCGTGACAGTGGATACATCGCGGTAAGCAGGCGTTTCCAGCCGATGAAGCGCAGAGGTTATTGTGATCCTTCTCTGTGTAGCGAGTAGACTCACAAAGACGGCATCTTGGGGCAGAGGAACAAGCGGGGCTGTTGTGCCAAAGCTAGCACATCCTGCACTATACTACTGACGAGCGTTTAGGAAGGATTCGTGTGACTGTGCGGCATCCAAAGATATAGAGAATTCGTGAAAGACGGCTATGGTCTTGAGGAAAGCGGACAATCCAGCTAATATCTTGGCTGTCTGGATTTGTCTCATTATCCTGGGACGCGAGTACAGAGACGGGAGTAGCGCTAGCTGCTGTTGCTACAGCAGCTGTTACGGCCTCGGTTGTGACTGGCTCGAGGCATCATTGCATGTTTTGGTTTAATGTCCTGTAGGAAGTCCAGTGTGAGGCTTTATCAATGGGAGCAGTCCCAAACAGATCAACTGTTGCCAGTTTCTCGTTTGAGGCATTGGCGTCACTAACGCTAGGGCGGAGAGCTAACCCTGTCTTTGTTGACATTACATTTGATAGAAGTTGGCTTTGACTGCCAAGCTTAGACTTCATGTGCGTTTGTATTGCATAGCCCAATGCATTGCGTAGAGGACAGTTGGAGGAGAGGCGGACAAACAATCTGTCGCCTGGTTTGGTTTTTGCGGTCCGTACGTGAGCATTGAGCTTCTAAACGAAGGGAGGGGTTTGCTGTGCGCCTCGTTTAGCAGCGCCCGGATAGCTTTGGGAAGCGTTTTCTTTTGCTGGCTTCACAGGGCTAGATATCTCGATAGTTGAGGTACCGTGCATATATGCGATGAAGTGCTTAACAGCAATAGTTGCTAATTCTAAGGTGCACTTAGGGAGGGCTTGAGCTTGAGACTCTGGTAGAATAGCGCGAGCGTGAGAAGAGCAATGTTCGTCGAGAAGTCGGGCTAGTAAACCAAAACATTTTCTGCTTCACGAGCTCTTGAGGCTGCTAATTGAGCGCCTTCGAGGAGAGACTGTTAAATGGAACCAAGGGTTTGTTTTCAGGAGGGTCATTGTACAAGAGACTTTGATTTGAAAGGGAGTTTTTGGGTGGGTCTAAGCAATTTTCTTGGAAGACCATGATTCATACTTGACGTAGTTGCGAGTTATAAAATGTTGGTAAAACACGAAGTAATACAAATTGGGTGCCGTCACGAAGTCGGTGAATGAAGTCAATTATCTGGTATCTCGAAATACGTAAATCGTTGTTTCCTCCTTCTACTCCAAGCACCTCGCTAATGAGCTACGTCAGATCCCTGTCAGTATCCTAACTACAACCAGAATACCGCAATTACATAGAACAATCCAAACTGCCCAAATATGATCCTGTTAAACTCTACGAGTCAATTGAATAATGAATGAAGTAAAAGTAAAAAGTGTCAATTAATTCCTGGTTGCCATTTCTCTTTCTGATCCTATCTAGATTATATACGTCCAGAAAATGGCAAATGCTCTATGTGTCCCCAACTTGTCCCCATGAACCAAGTTTCTCATGGTTTGGAACGAAACAACTCTAGTTAGAACAGATAGAGTTCTTATTGCTACAGCCCAAGCGAAACACCCTTTTCCGAAACAAGTAACTCCAAGCTCTGAAGCCTAACTCCTTAAACTTTGTATCTGACATAAATCGCCTCCAAACTATCCACAGTTTGATAGATCCTTTTACCGACATAAGAAGAGATGGTGAGCGCCTTAGTGGGCCTGGAGGTGTAACGGCTAGTGCGCGGGTAATTATTCAGAGTCAGATTATGATTATCACGTGCTATACAAATCTTCGAGACTGAATATTCTTTCATAGATCAATCGGGACGTCACTAGAAATGTCTAGTGACTAGTAGTAAGATTGCGAACCAGACTCAGGTGAGGAGGGCAAGACTGAACACCTGTACGCGGTGTCCTCTACGATCCTGGGAGTGAAATATTCTCCCAGAGCCAAGTTCAGTCAAATTTCGCAATATCAAAGAAGTTGGCCCACGAGGCAAAAATTCAAATTACTCCACCATGTAAATCTTTCACTCCCAAAGAGTCCGATTCTCAACTAAGCTTCATCAAGTCTACAAGTACAGCCTAGTACATCCTCGTTCCAATGACCATACCTCTCGTCGACTTTCTCTGGCCTCAGTTGACCACCAAATACACGCCCACGCCGATATTTACGCCCGACGGAGGAAACATAGCCTGGCGCACAAATCTGGGAGACAGTTCTTTGGGATGGACGTGAGAGAGATCATGATAAGTTCACAAGATGATGCAAAGGAAGGATACAGTCTCGATGGGCGTGAAATTTCAAAATTTGGCAAGAAACTTTTACGAATTGAGCATTATGCGTGCCAAGGCTTCGGTTGCGAGAGTGCAGACGATACTATAAACATTGCCACGGCTGGATGGTGCGGTGGTACATCGTCTTGGCCGGTCTGCCAGGTAGAGTCTAGATAGCTTGGACACATATCCCACTCGAGACAGTAGATCGCTGATTCAAATCTGTCAAAACACAGTCACTTTTCTCGCGGCGCTAGTATACATAGATGACGATGGCATGTTTGGATAACCAAAGGTTTCGAGCTTCCCTTTGGTGGGTACTGACGGAGGCGAGTCGACTGTTTGTGTAAGCAAGCATACCTTATAGTGGTATTTGCGAATGAAATCCAGAGTATGAGTGTCTTTAACGTCAAAAGAGTCATCCAAAATGTATACATAGCACTGGATATGTGTCATAGCTTTATAGCTGAATACACATTAAATGATTTTAAAAAAAAAGTCAATGACTATCTAACATATTTGGCTCATCTCTAGCCCAGGCTACACCTTTTATAGCACTCTTATTCTCTTTTATTACTTGAAATATCATTGATATATTGCCTGTGATAAGTAATCATTCATCTCAGTATTTACCCGTGGAATTCGGCCATCTTTTCTATGCATCATTCTACCCAAAGGAAATAAAAATGGTAGCAATGGAAACTGCATGCGCGGGAAAAAGTCTCAAAAAACCTGCAGCCTCAGCCAGGCGAGGCCTAGACACCGGGTCCACACGAGGTGCGCAAATTCATCCATATTCCCCCTCATTGTAACATTCGAGGCCAACCTGATCCAATCCATCATCTCCGTATCGGGTGCTGGGTACGCTCCGGAAACTCATCGGATGGCTTTTCCTCCGTGATCAAGGTTTGGTGACGAGTAGGGCTCTGATCCCACCATCTGATCTGATCGTGGTTAGCTTCATGATAGTGGTGATAGGGAATGTGTTAAGAGGTGAGGACGATACAGACCGCGAAAGCGATTGGGAATCCTCATCGAAGTAATGACTTTGTTACTCAATCTCGGCACTGCAAACTCTTCAGTGAGAGCTGAAGGTTCGTAGGGGACACCATAACGAGCAGTGATTTGAATACGATTATTGTGATCATACCGTAGACATACCAACAGCTAGTATTATCAAAGCAAGGAAAGAATAATATAATGCGAGTTCCTATACTGCTGCGTAATGTAATGGTATATTATCTATGCTTGTCGCTCAGATGCAGCAACAAGAGATCAGGTAAGTATCTAATGTGATATAATAGAACACTAATTCCGATACTGTATGTAACGTTCTATTTCAATACGGTGCTTCTGAGGAAGTTGCTGAGGGCTCTATCTTTGGTCCATTTATATTCCAATTAGTTGAGCGCGTGAGTTTTGATAATACTGTGTAGAAATACTTGTTTCACAGCAGTAAACTTGAAGGTATAATTATGATAAAATTTTTAGCATTAACTGGAAACTTTTGAAGTAATTAAACATTTTTGTTGCTAATCTTTTGAAAGCTTCCAAGTAAGATTTCAGTAATCCCTGACAGTCAAAGACGTAGTTGTAAATTAAATATAATTCAAACTATTATTCGAGTAGCATCAAGAATAAGAGCATCCTACAAGTCAAATGGCTACCTAGCTTGAATATTCCACTCCTATTTCAAAGCATGATAGTTGGATACACAAATGTGGCAAATTATAAAATTGCCCTACAGTATTTATTTTTGAGGTATCCTAACGTTGGGGTTTTAATACCCATATAAGTCTTTACGTGCATTATAGCCCGGTTCTCTGGCAGCGAACAGCGGACAGCAATATATTGGACGGTAACTCCGTGATATTCCTAATATATACAACCGCAACTGGTAAGTCCGGTATTTCATCGTCCAGGACTCAGTAGGGACAAACTTTTAATTTAATCACACCGATGAGCTTGTTCCATCTTCGCTATATCTGGTTTTCTTCACGATACTTTTCGTTTTCAATCTCTCTCCAATCCTTTTCTGCAGGCTCCTGGCCATCAGTCACTTTAACAGCACCCGAAAACGCTGGCTTTCCCGCATACAGCTGTTCGCTCGGTGTCTCTACTCCATTTTCCTTCCCAATCGCTATCGGTTGGTTACCCCTGAACCTCTTCCGCATATCTACCATACCCCGTTTACATTGACCATACCCCTTCTTAAGCTGTTGGCATTTGGTTGGCATTGTTTCAAGTAACGGCGAACGAAGGCAATCTGCAGGCTTGTTTCGTTGTATCATGACACAATCGGATGACTGAAGACATGCAGCGAGTGCAGCTCCTACGCGTTTGTTACTACAAAACTTCGAAGATTTGGGAACCCGGGGCCTACGGATATCATTGCAAGAAGACGGCATGCTGGACCCTCTGTCTTACCCTACTTTGACTGAATTCTTAGAGGTATTTTTGAAATTTACAGTTGCAGGAGGAGTTTTCATGAACACAATAGGTTGGATGTGATTCACAAATGTGCGGTCTATCGGTTTACTTTGGGGCCCACAAACCCCGACAGCAACTTGTGGAAACTAGTCTTTCTACGTCACCATTTTTGCAAACGCGCGCTTTTACTTGGACAAGGCTGAGAATTCACACATCACAACTTATCACAGAAGCAGTCTCAACTCCAGTTTCCACAAATGTGCGTTTACGATTTGTAGGGAAACATGACAATGTACTCATCACCACATCGGGCTTTCTCCTATAGAATTTGAGATAAGTTTCCGGCACTCGCTCTTTCTCTTCGATAATAGGAGGTAACCCCGTAATACAACGGGTCTCAACCAAGCACCACAATCGCCCTTTCTATTCTAGATTTCTCTTCGAATATAGAAAGTACCCTCCCAATACTAAGCGCCTCAAACAACTACCTATCTTGTCCTTTCTATCTTTGGCTCCCCTTTGGAATAAGCAGCTGCCCCACTTATACAACGGGTCTCAACCAAGCACCACAATCGCCCTTCCTATCGTAGATTTCTCTTCGAATATAGAAAGTGCCCTCCCGATACCACGCACCTTAACCAATCGCTGGACTCGCTCTTTCTCAATTTGGCACCAATGACTGATTCCTAATCGCTTGTTCGCTGGCTAGAACAATAATCTGAAAGGATGTCTACTTTCGACACGTGGCTCTACGTCATTCAAAAATGATATCTCATGATAAGCGTTTATGAGCCGGAATAGAAGGAGCCATCCGTGAGATAAATATCTTATCTACGGGTATATATCTCCAGCTATAGAGGCTCTTACAACTATATTCTGGCAAGAGTTGCTTATTTTACCAACAATCAATTAACTCGCTACCAATCTATAACTTTCCCATTCATAATTCTTCCTCGTCACAATGGTTCAAATACCAGTATTTAACCGTCTGAGTTTGTAAGTAATTTAAATATTTCTATAACATCAGTACTGACAACTCATTTAATAGCTCCGAATACATAGCCCTAATTGGCTCTTTTATTTTAGTAATCTTGGAATTTGTCATTCGAATCCTCGCACTTGCTTTACGTACGAACATTCAGTCTAAACACATATTGAGAGACTAATACTGACAGCATCCTCTATAATCAACTTATTTTACAGAGCCTCCAGACGCCTTTTTGATCGTGTTATCTCGACAAGCTCAAAGAAGGCAGAAGCAAAAAAATTGAGTATGTCCTGGGCGGTTCAGTTCAAATTGTAAGTAATAGCTAACCATTCGTGAAGATATCACCACATCAATACGGAATGCTACAGAATTTACAGATCTATGTCGCTTCTTCAGATATACTGCAGAAGAGCATATCGTACAAACTCGAGATGGCTATTTACTGGGAGTTCATCGGCTGGCCTGGAAAAGAGGCGAAGAAAATCAGAATATCAATTATGGCACAGGTACTCAACGAAAAGGAGTGGTGTACATGCACCATGGACTACTCATGAGCTCTGAAGTTTGGGTTTGCATGACCGAGGAAGAAAGGTGCCTACCCTTCAGGCTTGTTGAGCTTGGTTATGATGTTTGGGTGAGTACTTATTCCAAATTCTCGAATGATTCTCACAATTTTAAGCTTGGAAACAACCGCGGAAATAAATACTCAAAAAAAAATATATACCACTCACCAAACGAAACTCGATTTTGGAATTTCTCGATGGATGAATTCGCATTTTACGATATTCCTGATACTATAGAGTATATCTTACAGACAACCTTAGCTACATCTCTTTCCTATATCGGCTTTTCCCAGGGTACAGCTCAAGCTTTTGCGAGTTTGGCCGTCCATCCTAAGCTGAACAAGAAAGTAAATGTTTTCATCGCCTTGGCCCCTGCTATGTCTCCACCTGGACTCTCGAATAGTGTTGTCAATGCTCTCGTCAAGTCTTCCCCTAAGGTTCTCTTCTTACTTTTTGGACATTATTCAATACTAAGTTCAACTACTGTGTGGCAATCAATTCTATATCCACCGATTTATACTCGTCTTATAGACGTTGCTTTATCAAATTTATTTGGTTGGAAAGTTCGTAATATATCGGCTAGTCAGAAGCTAGCTGCATACTCACATCTATACTCCTTCACCAGCACTAAAAGTGTTGTACACTGGTTCCAGATTATTCGGAACAAAACATTTCACATGTTTGATGACGATCGGTCTCTATTCATGTCTCTTGGCTCTAAAAACTTTACAAAAGTAAAAAAATTCCCCACTCGAAATATAAAGTCACCAATCACTCTAGTATATGGTGGTAGTGATTCATTAGTTGACATAGATGTTATGCTAAAAGAATTGCCTTCACATACCTCTGTGATCGAGATAAAGCACTTCGAGCACCTTGATTTTCTCTGGGCACGAGAAGTGGAAGCACTTGTATTCCCTCACGTTTTCAAGGCTTTGGAAGAGCATTCGGTCGCCTCTGAAGCGTCAGAATGTCACGACTGCGAAGGCAGTCGAATTTTTAATCTAAATGATACGGGGACGGTCGTATCCCGCGATAGCATAACTAGTGAAGAAAGTAGGCGTCCGTTAACTTCATCTGATTCCAGCACTTTTCGATTTGGACTTGACACTAGTCCTTTGAAGTCGGCTTTAAAGAGAACGGGAGCCTCTTGTAGCAACATACCTCGGCCATGTAACAGCGCACGGAGGCGCTCCAATGCTAACACAGATAAGTTTAATATTTTGGAAGAAGTAGCCCATACACTGAGTCCAAAGCCGACTTTGGAAGCTCTTGTAGAGGAGGATCAATCAAAATCAACACTTTTCAATGATCTTGAAGGCCATTCAGCCTTGACTCTTGGATCTCAGTTTGATTGCAACGCCAAAAATCAAGAGGTTATTTCCCCCAAACTCGACGAAAAATTACTGCCCCCATCTGAGAGCAGTGTAAACAAATTTGATTCGAATGGCAACATGTCTGGTACAGTTGCTGGAAAAATGTCTGGCAGTGCAACGGGAAGCGTTGCCGGCTGTGTTGTTGGTACTGTGGCCGGTAGTATGGCCGGCAGTGCGACTGGAAATATGAATAGTGCAAATTCACACGATGGAATTGTCAGTAAATCAAGGCGAAATAAGAGAAAAGGAAAATTTGTCGGAATATAGCAATTGATGACTTTATCTGGTGGAGTGCAAGGAGTATTTGATGGTGTTTGGGTCAGAACTAGAATAGTAATCCTGTTATAATGGCGCCCCTTTTGGCAGCTGCACGCACCACTACAATTGGTGATTGGTTGGAGCTGGTCAGACCCGGGGAGTAAGGTGTAAGTCAGCACGGTACCTTTCCATCTGCTGGTCTTGGATATTAAAAGGTCGTGTTTTATGATTTTTCAGGCTGTTAAGAATTCCCTTAAGTAGTGTTAAGTTGTATTAGAATTAATATAATTACAGTGGAAATCCAATATGAAAAATGAAGTTCCAACTGCAAAAAAGGACAAAGTGATGCACCTGCAGAATTTCGGGAATGAATCTTGCATGCGGTTGAATTGAATATATTTTTCAAAAATGCGTACATGTTCACAACATCGTCACAGTTCAGTGCATTGAAATTTAATTTAAATTTCTAGTCCACACAGCCTTTATCAATAAGTGTGTATTTGGCTATGTAGGTATCACAAATTGGGGGGTTTTGGAATAGGTCCTAAGCTAAAGCTTTGCGTCAACTTTTGGTCCAGGACCAGTAAGTCGATAGGGGTCCCTGTGTTCTTTACTACAGTCCAACTCATTTTAACCGCGTGAATTGCTGCCAAGATTGCAGCAGATGAAAACAGAGACCAAAAGCAAGAAAATCAAAACAACCCCAGAAACCAGAAGATTCTTTCACGTTGGTTGCTAGTGCAGCTTTTTTTGCACATTCCCTTCTCTATTACACCTTCCAAATAATAAATTTGCTCATTCCTCGCTAAGAGCTGGAGATGAGTTAGCAGGCACCTTTGATACAGGCGGTATCCTGATGTTGGTTAGTAAACGCCTAAAAAGGCATCTTCGAGGTCGCTGTATCGTCAAGCTTCTTCGGACTCCAAAATTCCAAAGCCCGATCCTATCTCCATGGAGAGGTCTATTTTTTATGGCGATAATTGCCTCATTAACCTTGACTCGTGCTACCACTGCGGACCTCCCTTGTTCGATTTGGCGAATGAGCACGATCAGCTTTTTGTTCACTGGTCCGGTCTTTTTGGGTATAGCTTGATTGTTCTGATAATCCAAGCGGCAAGGTCCCCCACGGTTGCAATATCGTGTGAGGACCTTGCACTCGGAAGCCGAGTGCATCGTTGATCCTTAGTTACAGCGGGCTGGAGCGACAGAGCAACCACGAGTGGCGTAAAAGCCGAAGCAGCGATAACATCGCTGAATTTTTCGACCAGGCTGGCGCATTACAGCCATTCCAGACTCGTAGAAGATGAGAAAACCCGAACGAAGGGTGAAATCCCGAGTAAAGATTGCAACCCAGTTTCTATACGGCGCACCAGGACGATACATCACATGTGGTCGCACCTGAATTGGCGTCATTTGCGTATTAAGGTCGATTTCGTCCGAGATCGACTCAGCATCGAGCGTAGTTATACCGGCGAGGGTTTTGAAGGCCGCGGATACATTTGCGACCCGAAAAGCGATAAGGTCGGAAGCCTCTTCAAGTCTAGCGTTGAAATTCGCTAATTTCGGAGCCTCATCTAGAAGCCACTTCCTTATAATTTCATGCCTTGTAAGAATCGCTAAACCGGTTCTGACTCGGTGGAAGGAGTTGGAGTCGCCCAGGATGCACCCAATCTCATCCTCTACTGCTTACTATGCGCTTGCAGATGAAAGCCTGCGTCACGGGTGGTCGCTACCGAGGCGTATTAAAAGTCGATTGTCGATTTTCGTCTTCGCGGCGTCTTTCTTTTGGACTTTTGACGCAGGTTGCGGCACAGCCTTTAGGATGGAGGCTGCTATTTTTCATAGTCCGTTTCGGGCCACCGTCGACAAGGTGATTTTTGAGGGCCGCGACGGGAGAGCGAGTGAATTTTGGTTTCCAACGTCAGGAAATCTCGGAGTAGGGTTTGCCGGGCGAGGGCGGGTGGCGTAGAGGCCGTGCCTGAGGCAATGTATTGCGCAATGGCAGCGCCTAGGTAGACTCTCATCGAGTCTACGAATTGTCAATTTGGTGCGTTGGCCAAAGGGAGGAGTGATGCATCAACGTCTGAGATGGTGGTAGAGTAGAGCAGCAGATTTGCTACCATTTGAGCGGCGCGTCGATGTTCGGCTTCGACAATTGGTCGAAGTTCCGGGGGTCAATCTGCTTTGTCGGCTGTTGCTGGCTGCGACTTTTTAGTTGAAGCTGATTTTGGTGCAGCTATCTCGGAAGGTTTTCATATGGTCGGTGTAGGTTTAGACGGTCCTCTTATCCCGTGGGGTGTGGAGGCTGGTTGGGGAGCCTCCTCAACAATATCAACTGACCACATCATCTCAGTATCGGGCGCAGGGACACGATAATGGGCATTTTCCTTCCCTCTGCTTGCGGCCTTCTCCATCTCCACGAATTTTGGAAACTGGGTATGGCCCGGTGTTTGTATTAGAGTGTTCGGGCGGTCTCTCGTGTTGTCCAATATGGCGTTGGGAAGCTTTTTCCAAATTGGAGGCTATTAAAAATGCTTAGAGCTCGATCGCAGCTCAGAGACATATGCGACAAATTCATGAGGAGTGGAAATAAGAAATTTCAGATTTTGAAATTCTGCATTTTTTTGTTTAGCTTATCAACGTGCTTGGCAATTGAAACTTTCTGCACCCCTCTGGATACTTGAGCAAGAGGGAGAGAGAAGTGTATTTTCTGTACTATATAAGTCTTAGACAGTCTAGCACATTGGGCTCCTCTCTGACCCAGGCCACACCTCGTACAGTGCTCTTTGCCTCTTATGTTCCTTGAAAGAGCATTGATATATTGCCCGTGATGAATAGCCACTCAGCTCAGCATTTAGCCGTGGAATTCGACCAACTTTTCCACGGAACCTTCTACCCAAAAAAAATAAAAATGGCTGCAATGGAGACTGCGTGCGCGAGAAAAGGTCTCAAAAAATTTGCAGCCCCAGCCAGGCGAGGCCTAGACACCGGGACCACATGAGGTGCGCATATTCATCTATATCTCCCTTCTATGTAACGAGTGAGGCCATCTTGATCCAATCCACCATCTCCGTATCGGGTGCTGGGTACGCTCCGGAAACTCATCGGATGGCTTTTCCTCCGTGATCAAGGTTTGGTGACGAGTAGGGCTCCGACCCTACCATCTGATCTGATCGTGGTTAGCTTCATGATAATGGTGATAGGGGAATGTGTTGAGAGATGAAGACGATACAGACCGCGAAAGCGATTGGGAATCCTCGTCGAAGTGAGGACTTTGTTACTCAATCTCGGCTCCGCAGACTCTACAGTGAGAGCTGGAGGTTCGTAGGGGGCACCACTAACAGGTGTTGAGAATAGTCCCCCCAAGCACGGGTGATGCCGAGCTGGATCAGGTTAATACCATTTAAGTACATAAGCCTCGTTCCACCAGAGTGATCAGACCACCTCAGACTTCATCCATATGTTTAGCATGTCATGGCCAACCTTCTAATGAACCCGATTCTTACACGCCGAAGCGCAATTTTCTCCTCAGCCTCGGCTACCATAGGCCCGACCTCTTGACGCCCTCCCAATCTCCAATTGTCTTTTCCTTTCAGTTTCAGCCGTGCCTCGTTCCAGCATTTCATCATCTCATCCATGCATCATTTTCTTTGTCGTAGATCTCACCCAATCACCCACCGAGGCCCCTTCAGATTTTCTTTCCTTTCTTTCCTCCATTGTAACTTCTTCTTATTCTTTCAGTTGTTAGCGCAATCTCGGATACTTTGTAGACTTTCCATCCCCCTTACCTCGCCCAGTCGCCCAGTCGCTGCCGTATCCCTAACCGTGTAGGCCAAATATAGGTCAAAGAACTCAAGACCAAGATACAGATACCTCAGAATTTGTCAGTGCTATGGTTAATATGACGGCGAAATGTTGTACATAATTCGTCGATGGTGTGACAGCCTTCACAAATGCTCTAAGGAAAGGTGGTGCTTAGGAAATGGCTTTATTTTTTTTTTGCAACAGATTTGAATTGCGTATGCAGCTATCTAGCTATGACACAATATCAAAGAAAAGTACAGAATAGATGATTCAACGTAAAGGAAAAGCACTCATGCCTCGGATTTCATTTGCAAGTACCACTGCGAAGTTATGGTGGCTTTTTCTTCACCCCAAGTCAACCCTTATCCGTGAATACCCACCCAGGGGAACATCTCAAAAACCCTGAGTTATCCAGACATGCCTCCGTCATCCATTAAATTTTGTCCGCGCGAAATATGATCTGAGATCTCTTCTTCCCAGGTGGAGTAGGTGCCCAGGCTACTCAAACTATACCAGAGGAGACCACCAGGAGGCGGATCACAACACCTTCCATCGTTTGCTTAAGTTTATAGTGTCAGTTGCACTCTCGCAAGCGAAATCTTGGCGCGCACAAAGCTCAATTCATAAAACTCCTGCCAAAATTCGATATTTCACGCCCATCGAGAATGTATCCCTTTTCTGCATCATCTTGTAAAATTGTCCTGATCCCTCTCACGTCCGTCCCAAAGAGCTATCTCCCAGATTTGTGCTCCACACTTTGCTTCCTCCGGCGGGTATAAATATCGGCGTGGGCGTGTATTTGGTGGTCAACTGAGGCCAGAGAAGGTCGAAGAGTGGCGTGGTCATCGGGATAAGGATGTACTTGGTCGTACTTGTAGGCTTGATGAGACTTAGGTAGGCGTCAAACTCGTTGGGAGCTAAAAAACGAAGTGGAGGAGTAATTTGAATTTTTGCCTCGTAGGCCAACTTCTTTGATATTGCGAAATTTGACTGAACTTGGCTCTGGGAGAATATTTCACTCCCAGTTTCGTAGAGGACACCGCGTACAGGTGTTCAGTCTTGCCCTCCTCTAATTATTTTGAAATATGCCAATATTTGTTCTTATAGATATTGAGGGTCAAGCCGTTAAGGGTCGATTGTTTATGGACGCAAAGATACTTTATAGTGGCATTTACGAATGAAATCTAGTGTATGATTGTCCCTAA